AAAATGCAGTCTGTGGGCAACAGTGGCTCAGTTGGTAGAGCATTGGCCTGGGTAGATTTGAGCCCACTGCAAGACTTTCTGTACCGACTCCTGCTGATGTCTGCTGCCGTTGTGTCCTTAGGCAAGACACTTCACCCACATTGCCTAGAATGAGTCTGGCGTGTGTGTGAATGGTTGGTGGTGGTCGGAGGGGCCGATGGCATATACTGGTTGGCTCGCTTCTGTCAGTGAGCCCCAGGGCAGCTGTGGCTACAGTGGTAGTTCATCACCACTGTGTATGGAGTGAAAGAATAATGACATGTGAAGCGTGTCCAAAAAAGCGCTTTATAAAACCAATTCATTATTATTATTATTATTAATCTGTAATTACAAACTAATGTTAGCAGGTTGTTGCAATGATAAAAAAAATATTACCATCTATTGCAGCATTGTGTGCCTGATGACGGCTCGTTCACTAAAAAAACAACAGCTGGCAAATATACTGTATGGAACCCAATATGTGTGACTGAGAGATGTGATCAGGATCCATTGCAGCGATAGCTTACAGCAGGCGCACAACAATAAGAGTAATGCACTTGTAGCCATCATTCAATGGCTTTTTTGTCTTGGTGCCAAACAGATCTATAATTAACAAGAAAATGTTCAATGGCTTAAGTAATTGTGATTGGTGTATTGCTATAAAATATTGCGACACACTAAGGAACTAAGTCATCTTCATTTCAATAAAATAACATTTCACAGACCGTCCTCACATAATTCACGTTACAATTTTTTGGTAATTTCCAGTCACTCCACAGACGGTGATGACAGAGGCAAGACGCCACACTCTTGAGCCCGCTCTCATTACATACAGAACTTTCCCAGACGAAACCTAAGTAGACACGAGAAGAACATGCAAACTCCACGGCATGCCCACTGTACAGTAAGACGGAGAAGTGACCACGGAATTACTGTATTTGCGGGACTTTAAGCCACTACTGTTTTAAATGTGAAGCGCTTTGTGATCCTGGTCTGTGAAAGGCGCTATATAAATAAACTTTACTTTACTCACTCACTGCCTGTATAGCTGTGCGGCCAACGTATGCATTATTACTAAGGTAGAGTTTGGCTGTTTTTATTTCATTTTGACTCCATCTAGTTTTAGCAGCTATCGGACGCACAGTTATTGTAGATAATAAATTGATAAAAGAGTCTCTACAAATTTAGCTGGTGCGGTTTATAAACAGTGGGGCAAAAATGCGTTTAGTCAGCCACCAACTGTGCAAATTCTCCCACTTAAAAAGATTAGAGAGGCCTGTACTTTTCATCATAGGTATACCTCAACTATGAGAAACAGAATGAGAAAAAACCCCCCACAAAATTACATTGTCTGATTTCTAAGGAATTTATTTGCAAATTATGTAGGAAAATAAGTGTTTGGTCAAGAAAAAAAAGTCAAAACTAATATTTTGTGGAGCTCCAGATCGAGGGAGATTATCAGTGGTCTTGTAGTCTTCCTTTTTTAATAATATCTCCCACAGTTGGTCTCTTCAATCCAGCTGCTTACCTATTGCAGATTCAGTCTTCCAGCCTGGTGCAGGTCTACAATTTTGTTTCTGGTGTCCTTATTGACAGCTCTTTGGTCTTAGCCATAGTGGAGTTTGGAGTGTGACTGTTTGAGGTTGTGGACAGGTGTCTTCAAAAAGGTACCATAATTTGCAAATAAATTCTTTGAAAATCAGACAATGGGATTTTCTGGATTTTTCCCCCTTCATACTGTCTCTCATAATTGAGGTATACCTATGATGAAATTTAAAGGCCTCCCTCATCGTATTAAGTGGGAGAATTTGCACAATTGGTGGCTGACTAGAACTTTTTTGCCGCACTGTACAGGTGCGCTTAATAGTCCAGGAAATAGTGTCCCTAAAACATTGTACTTAACTGAACTCATCAGACAGCACAAACAATAAGCAGCCCAAACAGGCTTCCACAAACATCCAGTCCTCTCCGTGTCTAAGGCGTGTCTGTTAACGTGACCAACAGATGACTTTGTTATGAACTCAATGGTGCGTTTCCACTTTCTATCTGCGGTCGGTTGTGTATATCTGCCTCAATTGTTGGCTATTTTAGTTTTTTGTGTGTTTCTAGTGGTCAGCTGATGTGGTCTGTACATGTCTCTCTAATCCTGAGTGAGTGAGTCTGGAGAACGTTTATTTATATCAGGTGGAGGAGGTTTGTGTTTTAACCGTGACTTTAGAGTCATATAAATATTACAGAGCTTTACCAGAGGTTACGGGTGAGAAGGGTCAGATTGTAGAAAAATCCAGCTCTAGTGCTCCAATGGTTACAAGGAGAGATAGAAGATATAGAAGCTTCAGGCTATATATCTGGCAAATCCAGACTCAACCTTAGAATTGAATTGAGTTAAAAAAAATAATAAAAAAAAATCTCCTAAACACATCTTATTACAATTTTATTTTAAAGTAGACAAGTGCAAAGACTCAACACTACAAGAAATTGGAAATATCAATCAAGGTCAAGGTCAAATGGCTGGGGAATATTTAGAGTCAGTCTATTTATTAGGTAAAAGCTAAAAGACACCTTAGACAGCATCACTTGTAGATTAACTGTGGAGATTGGCTCGAAGCTGTGCCTCGCTAGGTCATCCACTTAATGAATCAATACAAGACTCGTGACAAAGAGGCTGGTAAATCCACTGGCCTCCAGAATCATCTCCATTCAATATCCAACAGCTCCTTCACAATGTGCATTTAGACAAATGTGAACCTTGTTAACATTATAAAAAAAAAACCTCAAAATTATTTTTTGTATACTATTTGCTATCAAACACATAAGACCATTTTTAATTAATGGGTCCCTGAGTTGTATTTGTATTGTTTGTACAGGTTATATACACAAGTGGTCTGTCCGCGACAAAGATATAATGTTCTATCAACGTATTAGTCGTCAGAAACTGGTCCCAAACAGAGACTCAAATTAGTCTCACTTTATGCAACTTAAAAAACAAAATAAAGACCACATCTTTCAGTAATTTGCTCGGCAATTCACAGTTTATTCCCAAATAATTTAGATAAAAATAATTACATAATTAATCAAAATGTGCATGAACTGTGATAATTCATGCCTTGTAAGACGTTTCCATCTTGTTTTCTTAAGCACTTAGAGTTGCCTTGTGCATGAACTGTGCTATAAACATAAACTTGCCTTGCATTAAAACATGTTGGTCAATGAACTAACTAACAGCCCTACTGTCTTCTGCACGAATAGATTGTCATTTAATATTGAGACAAAATTAGTACACTATGGATTCCATTCAGTGAATAGTAAGAGATGTAAGTGTTTGTATCCAGTTTTGAAGTGAAATATTCTCAAGCTCATTAAATGGTTGAATGTGATGCATTCAGGTCTGACCAGCACAACCATCACAGCAATCCAGAGGAACCAGCTGGGGAGCCTTCTTACCAAAAACATTTGGGCACGTGCACGAGCTTAGCGCGAGGTCATGTCTGTCCTCTACCCACTGTCCACTACCCACTGTCCACTGTCCACTGTCCACTACCCACTGTCCACTACCCACTGTCCACTGTCCACTACCCACTGTCCACCACCCACTGTCCACTACCCACTGTCCACTGTCCACTACCCACTGTCCACTACCCACTGTCCACTGTCCACTACCACAACCCACTGTCCATTGTCCTCTACCCACTGTCCTCTACCCACTGTCCACTGTCCACTACCCACTGTCCTCTACCCACTGTCCACTGTCCACTGTCCACTGTCCACCACCCACTGTCCACTACCCACTGTCCACTGTCCACTACCCACTGTCCTCTACCCACTACCCACTGTCCACTACCCACTGTCCACTACCCATGTCCACTGTCCACTACCCACTGTCCACTACCCACTGTCCTACCCACTGTCCACTGTCCCTACCCACTGTCCACTACCACTGTCCACTGTCCACTGTCACTCACCCACTGTCCACTACCCACTGTCCATTGTCCTCTACCCACTGTCCTCTACCCACTGTCCACTGTCCACTACCCACTGTCCTCTACCCACTGTCCACTGTCCACTGTCCACTGTCCACCACCCACTGTCCACTACCCACTGTCCACTGTCCACTACCCACTGTCCTCTACCCACTACCCACTGTCCACTACCCACTGTCCACTACCCACTGTCCACTACCCACTGTCCACTGTCCACTGTCCACTACCCACTGTCCACTACCCACTGTCCACTACCCACTGTCCTCTGTTCACTGTCCTCTGTTCACTGTCCTCTGTCCTGCCCTCTTTCCTCTGTCCTTTTTCCTCTACCCTCTGTCCTATGTCCTCTGCCCACTACCCTATGTCCTATGTCCTCTGCCCTCTTTCCTCTGTCCTTTGCCAACTACCTTATGTCCTATGTCCTCTGTCCACTACCCACAGTTACTAAAGGCACTATCACTGTGACAGTAGAGAGCAGAGGTCATGTTTGTGAGACTTACATGTAACTTTGACCAACCCAGGGAGGTTTGAATCAGAGAAAGGGGCAGAAGTGCAGTAATAGTCCAACTGTGCGGGACCACGACCATCAGTCCCACAAACATCAACCTGATCCAGAACCACCTCTGAGACACGATGTGAGAACACAAACAGTTCGCACGGGTAAAATAAACGAACAGAGGATTATAACAAGTGAACACAAATCGATTAATGCAGATACTTCCGGTTGGTTATTCGGATCTCGGTACATTTACACTGACTGCGGCCGGGACTCTCATCAGCATCTCCAGCCTCTCACCCTCAGCTCACACGGACCCACATCTGTGACATAGCACCGATATTCCAATGTGCTTTTACTACAAATGGTAAATAAACTACCCCTGAATCTGAAATGTGGAGTGAGTGTTCTCCTCTGAGGCGCATCGCTGACACTTTGGGCATGAGACTGTTGCTGTTTTGGCGGTTATCATCACAAAACATAATGAGACTAAACAATGATGAAACATGAGACTGCAGACCCCCAAATCCTCCTCTTCTGCCATGTGGAAGACGGTCTGCTGTAAAGAGACGTGTCTTACCGATGCTGTGGTTGTGACGGGCGGCTCCCTCCTCTCTCTCCCACGGGCTGCTGTGTGTCCGCTCCTCCCTGAGCCTGCTCCCGGAGTCAGCCTCTGCCTGTGCTCTGCCTGTGCTCAGTCTGTGCTCAGTCTGTGCTCAGTCTGTGCTCAGTCTGTGCTCTGTCTGTGCTCTGTCTGTGCTCTGTCTGTGCTCTGTCTGTGCTCTGTCTGTGCTCAGTCTGTGCTCAGTCTGTGCTCAGTCTGTGCCTCTGCCTGTGCTCAGTCTGTGCCTCTGCCTGTGCTCAGTCTGTGCCTCTGCCTGTGCTCAGTCTGTGCTCTGTCTGTGCTCTGTCTGTGCTCTGTCTGTGCTCTGTCTGTGCTCTGTCTGTGCTCTGTCTGTGCTCTGTCTGTGCTCTGCCTGTGCTCTGTCTGTGCTCTGTCTGTGCTCTGTCTGTGCTCTGTCTGTGCTCAGTCTGTGCTCAGTCTGTGCTCAGTCTGTGCTCAGTCTGTGCTCTGTCTGTGCTCAGTCTGTGCTCGGACTCAGGGGCGGGCTGCCAGCACCACAGCCATCATCAGGATCCTCCCTCTCTCCATAAAGCCTTCATTTATAGGCCGTGGACAGTGCAGCAGCTGGAGGAGCGGCCATGCACCGCTGACTGATTTGGAACAGAAAGCTCTCTAATCTCGCACCGTTGGAAATAGTGTTAATCACACTGATAAAGTCATACATCATCACAAGCCTGTAACCTTCACCTAATCACCACCGAGCTGACATATTACACGATAGAAATACACCATATGCATAAAACCAAATGATGCAGATATGATGCATATAGTGAGATATCGCCAGAGAAAATATACAGAAAGTCAATAATGCAAGCCTTGAATAAGGCAGGAACGCAAACTGGAAGTCGCTTTGAGTAAAAAGTACAACATTAGAAAACTGTTTTGAAAACAAGAACTTGGTCAGTGGTGGCATGTCCGTTTGGAGTAAATATTTAAACAAACTGAATCTTTCTGTGATTTATATTAATTGCATAAAGCGAATATGTAGTGAATATGTTGATTTGAGAATGCGATCCCATTCTCTGAGCAGTGCTGGATGTAACTCATGCAGAAGAGAAAGGCATCCAGTTCCTTCTCAGGACAGAATATATTATAAACGGTTATGTTGCATTGAAAATATCTAAAGTAAACACGTGGCCAATTTAAACCACAGCCTCGAGTGATTTAATCAGTATATTGTTTACATTAAACCTCAGTAAATGATTATGAAACCCTGTGTGTACTTGCACGCTGCTGACCTCCACAGGACGCCATGATACAACACACAAGCTGCAATGCAGCCTTTGAGGCGCCCTCGTGTGGTCCTTCCAGATATTACACCGGTGCACGGTCTGAAACTGATGAAAAGACCAGGAATCGTTGTTTTTTTATTCTTTACTTTCTTCAGAATATTATACAGGTAAACAAGATTTATGCAAAAGTTATCATATCCATCATGTCATGTCTTTCATAAAAAAATACTTGCTCCACATGAAGTCATTGTGACCAATAATACAATGAGTCATATTTATAGATATTTGTTAGGTCTAGACATTGCTATAGGACAACACAGTGATGTTGAGCTGTTAGAGTGTCAAGACACACTACAGATAGTTATTCTTTAGTTGAGTATAAACAAACTAACACAGGGTTTGGCTGTATGGTGCTGAAATATAGACTGCAATGAGTTGTGCAAACGCTGATTGAGATTTTTTTCTGCTTCACACAAAAGAAAGATACATTTCTGCTAAGCTGATGACAGCAGGTGCTACCTTTTGTCTGACATGTTGCATTTGGTTTAAGTTCAGTGAAGTTCCTCTGCACACTGCTGCTCCGGAAGGACACAGGACGAGCCATTTGGCCATGACACTACAATCCAAACCTGTGCTTCAATGTCAGTTCTTGAAACCTGTCAAAGATTTTCATTTTGAATAAAGAACTTTAGAACATGTTCTTGATGAAGTTAAGTCCATGTACTTATCCAAAACACCAACAAGCAAAAAAACCCTGCAAAAGCACCTGTGTTTTTTCAAGAACAGTTTTGTTCTTGAAGGTGAAATCCTCCACTGTTCTGGCAGAGGCTCTGCTTTTTTCTTGGGTTCATCTAAATATTGTTTTGCTTGGATATTTATTCAGTTAGTCAATAAACTTTCCTTTTGCGTTGGAAACAAGCCAGTGACTTCAAGTCTCTAAGTTTAGAGGGACCGGTAAACTTGAGGAGAGGCTTGTTTTCAGTGCTTAAAGAAACTATTGTACAAGTTAAAGTAAAACAATAAGATCAGTTTCAGAAGCAGGTCTTGGACCCCACCAGGTCAGTGGAGGAATGCATCTTTTTATACAAAAGAGAAAATAATTTCATTTTTGAGGTTTCAAACAATTATGTATTCTTGTTTTGGTGCAAAATCAGCTCTGAGCAAATGAAAAGAAAATGTATTGTTATATTTCTTAAAACAGCTGATAAGTGTTAGAACTCTGTAATAACACTGTAATGATCTGCAATGAACCACGGTTCACATAAAACTCTGTTAATATATCTCATACTCATTTTGAAAATACAGAATATATTTATCAATTGTGTAGTTAATGTTATTCATAGCAGCTGGAAATGTTGCAGAGTCTTAAAACACGTCTAAGGCACTCTGCCCAACTTGATTAACACTGATTGCTTTGACACTTAGAAGCGGAAATGAAGGAGTCCACAGTCCCACCAAAACACACGAGTCGCACAAACATAGCAGTCTGCAACCACAGTTTGAACCCAGAAAACTACAGGTTCATCATCAGGTTTTGAGTGAACCCCACGTCATTTTTTTTCCATAAAAGGTGATCTTATTTACAAATGATAACACTTCTTCTTTTAATCTATCTCTATAATTGTAAAGGTTCAGGCCCACACAGTCAGTTAAGGCAATGTTCTGTTGATATCCTTTCCACTATCCAATCCTTCGTTTAGAAAATATACTTCACTATGTAGATAAAAAGTTCAAAGAGTGACCTCCACTCCGGTTATAAAGTTCTCATTTTGCCAAAAACTGACAACAATCTTATCCCATTTGTGAAAACAACAATGGTTTTCCAGTTTTAAGGTGGTAGGTGTATAAGCTTTAACATAATTTAAAGATGTCATAAATAAAAGGTTCTTTTAAAAAAAAAGTTCTCAGTTTGACTTTTAGCAGCCAGTTAAAGAAAGTTTTGAATAGGTAGTTTTTTTCTGTAGTTCAAAGATCTCAGTGCTCCGGTCCACATCTTATCTGCTGAGCGTGGATGTGCCTGACCTCAGCGTGCTGGGCAGCTTGTCTGATCCTGGGATCTTCCACGGCCCTGGGGACACCGTAGCCTTTCTACCCGACACGCTCATGCTGCTGTTTGTGGAGGTGCTCTTGGGGGGTAGGACTGGACGGCTCTCTGCCAGGCCTCGATCCAACTGCCTGGACTTCTTATGGTGCAGGTCAGTCCCGCCGCTGTAATGCTCCATGTTGCGGTCACCGTTAGTGTGCGGCAGCTTGGTCCCTCCTGGTGAGCGCGTGGACTCTCTCTTGCCCTTATCACTCCTCTCCTTTGATCTGCCACGATTGTGTTTAGTCAGTTTTAGCCCCTCTCTACATCTGTCGTCTTTGTGGGTGGACCTGCCACCCTCTTTGTTGGCTCGTCGGCCTATTGCTTCAGGATGTAGTGTCTCAGTGGTGCGAGGGCTCTTGGATCGCTCCGGCCGGCTGCGGGAGTTTGGAGGCTTGTCCATAGGTGACAGGTACGGTGACTCTGGGGCAGCGACCAGATGAGATGAAGGAAATGGCATGGAAAGACTGTCGATGGGCAGGGCTACTTCAGACAGGTTTGGGGAAGCTGTAGGGCGAACATCCCATGGGGTGGCATTGTCTGAAAAAAACCACACACATGTTATTTATACTGACATGGTCATTTATTATAGAGATGGTGATAATAGTTTAAAAGTAATCGCTAAAACATTATTATTCACCACTGATTAAACTGGCTTACCTCTTTCAAATAATTATGAAGAGAATGAACTATATTGTTTTCATGTCTTTATTATCCGTTATACCTTTATCTTACATTGCAAGACAAATTCTTGCATGCATGTCTTGTCTAGCTAGCGAAGACTAAAAGCTAAACATTATTGACCTACAATACCCTCCTCTGCTTAAAAAAAGCATGCACACAAGCCACTGCAAAAGAAACGGCAAGAAACAAGCAATACTGCAGCCATCAGCTCTATTCTACGACCTAAGAGCATTCACCACAGCACTACTGTTAGACAGCATCAATCGGGCCCTACCATAACTCTCCTTAAAGCCCTGGCCAATCTAAAACCTTTGGCGGAAAATCGAAAACAGGTTTAATGAAATGGATGATACGCCCAATAGGATGATGCCGTAGCAGGAATGAAAAGTTGAGGGGCCAAGAGGCTGTTTCCCATAAGCACGGAGAGGTCTCTATCCGGAGCAGCACTGGACGCTCCTCCAAACTGTGCATTCTCACGGACTGTTAGCTCCAGTTTCTGCCTCAGTGAGTGCTGGCCCTTGGGCCATCACTCATCTTCAGTGGGCCATAGGCAGTGAGCACAGTCTGGACAATCACAGAGACACCTAGAGGTCCAATTATAGACTCCCATGCAGTAATGCAGTAAAGCTCAACACAAATGTGTCCAGTAGCCTACATTATTCACCATGACTTTAAATATATAATTTCGATTCAAAATGACTACGGTACGCCACTGGCTTGGAATGATCAGCATTTTGCTTTAACAACTGCATGTTTAGTTGAATTTTGACAAAATGTCTTCATTTTCTTCAATTGAATAAATTAAAGGAATGATGTTGGAGCCTAAGATTGATAAGATACAGTATTTACATTTTAGCATGTACATGTCAACATTGAATTGTGTTTAGAATGTGAGGAGTCATTATTGCTGTCTAAAACGCACTAGACTTTAGTAACAACATGGCAGTCTGTCATGCTGCAAGACACCACAACACACCATGCAAGACCACTGCACAAAAACCAGGAGACACTGATGTCTGACGGTCACAAACCGTGTCTTTAGGGTGGCCCATTAGCAGGAAATAGGGAGACCCATGCTTGTCACTTTTCATGCACATGGAGAGACTGGAAGATACCATTCCTATAGAAGGGGAAGTAACAACCTAGAGCAATCAATTAGTGATAGATCACTGAAATGGACAGAAGATAGTGTTAATCAGAATCAGAAGACACAATATTAGTTCCTTTATTGTGAGACTGAATGCAGAAAGAACATACTAATTAATATTAATAAAAGATACATGCTTGTAGTATATGTAAAAGGTTATGAAAATTAGATTAAAAGAAGATTATTTAGTTTGGAATCATGAATCAACAAGTGTCTTGGAAACCGTCACTACCTACCGTACTCTGGCACCTGCCCTGTCCCCCTTTTGAGCAGCAATCGCACTCTTCTCCCTCCAGACTTGATCAGCTCAATGGCCCGTGCATGCGTCATGTCCCGAGTGGTTTCCCCATTAATCTCTATAATTTGGTCTCCAACCTTGAAATGGAAAGAAAAAACGTGTCAGGACACTGCGCATGCAGCTCATGTGCAGCTGCATGCGCAGTTCCTCGACAACTCAAGGGACAGTATGATTGAGTCTTTGACTGATCCAGCACAAAGTTCAGTGTGATACTGGTCATGAGTATCGATTGTTTGTTTTGGCCTTGTCTCTTTTAATCTCCATGGACGTTTATGTCCTCTACAAAGCTTAGAGGGCACTAACCACTGGGCGGGCTCCAAACTCTGTGTGGAGTTTGCATGTTCTCCCAGTGTCTGCGTAAGTTTCCTCTGGGTCCTCTGGTTTTCCCTACCACTAAAAATAAGTACAATAGATCTGGCATATGGAGCGACAGTAGCTCAGTTGGTAAAGCATTGGCCTTTGGGCCTGAAGGTCGTGGGTCCAATTGCTCCCACAAATGTCTACTGCTGTTGTGTCCTTGGGCAAGACACTTAACCCCACGTCACCCCCTGCTGAAAGAACAAGGCTGCGTCAACAAGCCATCTTCATGTGGACCCACCACCTGCAGGAGGGTCAGTGAGGGACTGGTGCTATGAGCATTGGGTGGCAGCTCTGATTGCCACCCCCCCGACCCAGAAATGGACTAATAAAGGGGTTTAAAATGAATGAAAGATCAGGCATGTGCCTTCTGTACGGTGACCTCGCTCCCATCTCTGTGTGGAGCGAGAGACAAATGTCCACAACAATTGTAAACCGCTTTGTGACTCTGGTCTGTAAAAGGCGCTATATAAATAAAGATTACTTACTTACTTAATAAATAGACATAAAGTTACCCAGCTAAGGTACCTACAGGGCATTAACATGAGTTACATATTTCTCAATAAATGAAGTTAACGTACCAAACAAATCCAATCCATGAGTTTAGTGAAAGCTGTTTCAGTGAAATAGTTTCTCCAACTATTAATCTGAACAACCCCCACACAATCATCTGCCATAATCCCATAGTTGTACATGTTAAACCAACCACCTTTCAGATCATAAACAAGGAGAGATTAACCAGAGTGACCAAATACTAGATGAGTTATTCAGTAATGACTTTCAAGTGTGTGACTCACTTTGAATACATGGTAGAATAATGCGGCAGGTATTCGCAAATGACAAAGCAGAAAAATGCATGAGTCAATCTCCACAAATCCTGCCTCACTCCCCAAAGTGCCGTTTTACTCATCACCTCATGCAAATAACTACATTTTCTCATTATTGCATATTTGCCTGTGCACACAATGACAATAGTAAGGGTCATATGCCAGTCAATGCCACCAGGGATGGACTAATGGGAAGGTTTCACAGGGAACAGAACAAAACGTGCTGACCAATTACGCTAACAAATGGACAGGGCCTGTGGTAATGGTTGTGTAATTTGAACATCAGGGGGAGACTCCAATAGAGAGACAGGGAGCCATTTGGTGTCATTACTGTGGCGTGAGGAGAGGAGAGGTGGAAGGCAGGACAGGTCTCTCATTAATCCTCACCTCCTAACAGCGGGGAGGAGATCAAACTCCATCCCATCGATAATAAACGCAGGACAGAGGAAATAAGTTGCACACACCAGAGGTTCTACAGATCAAGCCCAAGCACCTCAGCATTTATTGAGGCACAAAACTGGGCAATTAAATAGATTCAGTGGTAATTAAATACACGCAGTGATTGTGCGAACTTCATACAGAACATAGAGTTTGGTGGTATGTATTTGTATTTGGTTGACTATTAAATAACGAAAGAGCTAAAGTTATGACCACTACACAAACACCAGGTTTTGTGCGTATGTTTTGGCTTGATAGTCTAGTTTTAGTTTATTATTGTTTGTCACATGCACATTACATGCAGTGAAATTCTTATGTACCTCCTGCAGATGTTCAGTAAAGTATTCGGAACACACAATAACAGAATAATAAAACGGAAATAGATTTTTTTTCTCTCTTTTTTTGCTCTTGTTGTGTGCTCCTCGTAGTATTTCACTGGGCCAGGTGTTTATTGCTTTAATAGGATAGCGACGTAGTTCTCCTGTATTCAAGAGTGTCTCACGATCGTATGTGATAAGACACTGTGCAGGCTGTGCCAAGTAAGATAAATACTATAACACAAAAAACTGCTGGGATCGGTACGACGGCAGCCAGCCTTCCCAGTCTGTTCTTATTCTTGTGTAAATCTGTCTTTGTCATTAAATGTCTGCTTTAAAATGTTTCTTATATGTTTTTCTGTGAGGAGTTTCCCCCACAACCCAAAACATGCAGCAGTGTGAGTGTGGTGAGTGAATGAGCGATGATGATGATGGTCAGAGGGACTGATGGCGCAGACTGGAGGAAAGCTTCCGTCACCTCAGAGCGTAGAGTGTATGAATAGTTACTCAATGTAGTGCTTTGTGAGACTTCAACAAGCCTATTATAGGGCTGTAAAGTGCAAGGTTTAATAATTATTAACACCAGGAACATTTCAACTACAGTAGAAGTGTAATGTGATAGCTGGATTTAAATAAAATGTTGAGAAAGAGAAGATTATATGTTCTGAAGGCTCCAAGTTATAGTATGACATCAAGTATGAAATGGAAGTAAAGAGGGTGGTTGCGGTTGTAACATTATGTATACTGTGTCACGGTAGCCCAGTACCCCTGCATACCCATAGGGGTCTGCACACTGGTTGGAAAACACAGACTCAAACCATGACAGCACAGTGAGCACTATCAGAGGAATGAAGTTAACTCTAGAAGGACTAAGGCTTATTTAAAGACAGTGAAGGAATCTCACCTTGAAGCATCCACACACTCTCTTGTTCTGTTGATGGGTCATCTTCTAAAACTAGCTTTAACCAAAATCCTCTCACTTTTACGGTCTACTCATCTGTCAAAGCCTCTGACAGTCTGTATGTGGACTTTAAGTGGTGAACAAGAGAGATGTCCTGCTTCTCTCTCCCATGTGGTGCACGGGTCCACTGGACTCCATCATCTCCATCACTGGGAGCCAAAGTAATTCCTCGCCCCAGGGACGTTTTGCACACATTATCTCTGACAGGTTCATTACAGAAGCGCAATGAAGAGCGACATCAACCACCGGGTTTAAGGACATGCAAATAAAGAAGAAGAGTCGTCAATGAACAACCTTGTCCAATATGTTCTTGTTGATGTGAGATCAGGCCGCGCATGCTTTTACACGCCTGCACAAGAAGGCTCACTCATATGAAAAAGAAATATTTCAATCATTTCAAATAGTATAGTTAGTTTTCTATTAATTATTATAACGTTTTAAACATACCAACTCTGTTAAAGACCGTATAGATTCAGATTTCAGAATATCTCTGGGCGCATTCACTTGGTCTGGTTAACTTGAACTGGAAAGATTCTGCTGAGAAAAGAAGTCTTTATTTGTAGATACAAAACCACCAAACAGCCGCACCGTGTCTTTTGAGACCAATTTTTTAAGTACTTTTACCCCAAAGGTTGTTTACATTTCACACACTAGAATCAAATGAGTCTAGACTTGGTGTAAACTCATAAAAAGCTTATAACGGTAGTATATTAGTGTAGAAGCAGCGGGTTTGATAACATCAGACAATCAGCCACCGGGAGAAAGCTGCTTAAGCCCCAGTCTCAGGTCACAGGAGGTACAGGAATCACACCTACCCTCATCCTCCCATTTCGGATGGCTGTCCCGTCCTCTGCCAACCTCAGCACAAAAAGGTCCATTTTATACTCTCGACCACCACGAATACTGAAGCCAAAGCCTTTAACGCTTTTCTCCAGCTCCACCGTGAAGAAGTCGAAATCCTGTGTGAGCTGAACAAGGAGACAGCTGATTTGTGACGGAATACAGTAGTTGAACTGTTATTTCTGAAATGAAGAAATAGTTGACTTGCCAGTGTATATATCATTGCTATAACCATGACTTACAGCGTAGACCTTTTACTAATCTTTCTAGCTTATATCATTATTCAACCTTTAATTGTCCCTTTTTTCATAGCAAGAAATACATGTGTGTGATCTCACCTGCACGGGCGGCATGCGGTAGTCAGGCATGGCGTACGGTCTGTAGTCGAGCAGAGGGGGGTGCCTGTACTCCAGGGTGGGGGGCTGCCTGTAGTCGGCCACTGGGGGGTGTCGGTAGTCCACGGGGGGCTGCCGGTAGTCTGTGAAGGGAGGCTGTCGGATGTCTGGTTTCACATCCTGCCTCGCCTTCACCTCAGATCTGTAACTGGAGCAACAACCGAGTGTTTCATTCTGCCTAATGAAACGTGGGGCTCTGCAGTATCTGAATGCCTTGCTCTCGGCTGCTTGGGACCAGAAAAAAGGGGGAAGAATAGGTTTTGTTTGTGTTGTAAAAATGGATTTTAGTTGCAGAGAACGTGCCAATACAACTCTAAGGGAAATAAGATTATTTTTTAAGAAATAAACGAGGATATCCAAATGTTTTCCCAGATCATTATTTGATTGTGATTAGATAAAAACATGAATATTCTTTTGTTTTGAGAATCCTTTCAACTGACCAATATCCTGTATGTGTTTTTGCATATTGTCACCATTATGAGAGAAAAGATTAGTTGATACTGTATGTACTGACAAACAACTTTGAGACAGTTTTTGTTTCGTGAGGATTGACATAGGAATTGAATTACAGAGATGTAAGAAAAATATTTCAGCCGCCCTCCGCCACAATTTTAAAGTATAGACTCTTTGGAGTGTTGTGAGGTCATCTGGACGCATGCTATTGAATGCAAATGTATGTATGAATCAGTCAGATATTTATGTTATTTTCAGTAGTTGACAATAGCACATGTATAAGATGCATACAGATAATATTAAAAGGACACAATCTAAATGTAAACACCCAGCGAAGCCAACCGTTGCCTCAACATTTACACTTCTTCATACATTTTCAAGCTTCTTCACTTTCATGTGGTGGATGACAGAATTTTTCCTGGCTTCCTCGTTTAGATTGACATGTCTTCAGTGATTGCTGCTTCCTGCTGCATCCTGGATAAGTCTTTGTGAGCATGAGTAACATTCATATTCAGATATAGAGTAATTTTGTATATTTATGTGCTTTTGATAATCTTGTTCACTCTTTGGTAAAGGTTCCGGCTACAATAATATAGACAACGAGCATTGTCAGTCCCAAAGCCTGTGCTCTCTTTAAACTGTGTCATCACACATTTTTATAGAGATTTGGAAGGAGGGACATCCTGAATCTAGCATGGCTTCTTGCTCTGCATTAACAGGGCAAAACTTGTACAGTAAGTCATTCAAACATTATAAGTTTGCCCTTTATTCCCATTATACTGGCGGAACTACTGTATGTCTGAAGGGGTAGGTGCGGACGTTACATAAAAATCAGACATACTTTTTTATTTTGATAGTGCCCTTATAGAGTAGACTCTTGTCCAATATAATACTTACAGCTACACAAACCTGACCCAAACTCGTAACTGACGCATACAACTCATTATTTACCTCATGTTTACACTTTAATTCTGAGATGTGCCACCTCCAGAAAGGTAAGTAGTGCCGCTTTAGTTTTTGGGATATTAATCATCTTAAATAAATTGCACCTATATCAGAGTAGTAATAGAAGTCTAAGCAGTACAAGCAGTAGTTGTAGCAGCAGTAATAGTACTGGCTGCTGTAGTGCTATTTAAGGGTCATGTTAAAACAAATGAAGTGCAAACAGACTGAATTGAAAGTTTTGGATCGGTGATACACTGAAGTCGATGTGCAGCGTTTTCCCTACAGAGGGATATGAGAATAGTCTATAAAATGCTTGACTGCTTTAGAAAATGAAGACAGCTGAGTGTAGCAGCAGCAGTTTAGGGGAAATAAGCTTCAGTGATGAACTCTGAAATGCCTTGTACCCACCTGCCCTCATGGGGGTAGCTCTGCGGAGGCGGGGCAGGTCTCCCAGGACTCGGATGGGGCGGTGTGGACTGGCTCACATTCTCTAAGCCTGTGGTAGGTTGAGTGCTGGGGGTAGTAGTGGCACTGGGCTGGGTCGTGGGGCTGTGCTGTTGGGTGAGTGGACTCTCCTTCTCCGAGCTGGGGGCGGACGGGGAGTTGCTGATTTCTGTGAGTCAGATGGAGAATAAGGAAATTCAATCACAAATGCATTGTGCTTTTCTAAGGACAGATTCTGGGCTTAATTCGTAAATTGTGGTTTTCAAAGAACTCTGACCCAGCCATTTATGGACAATGTAGATTGTGAAAGCAAATTGTTAAGTCTAGAGGCTATGAATTGAACTATGAGAGGGCCAGAGGAAAAAGACAAAACAAACACACATTCAAGCATACCGGCAGGTTACGGATAGGTTAAGGTCTACTTTGTTTCCTCCTTAGGGAAAATGTCCTTTGTATTTGAGCCATCTTTCCAATGTCACTATGGTCACTACAGTACAGCCCGTCTGGACCCATCTCCAGATGTTGAAACCCATCCATCCAAGTTGAGAAATATGAAAATTTACACAGAAGTGGGGCCGAACCAGCAAACTTCTTAATGCTACCCACTCAGACATCCTGCTGCCACATAGTAATTATAAGTTATAAGACATTTCTTAATGATTGAGAGACTAGGTGCCTTATTGCAAGACTTAATTTCCACTCCTGAAAACATCAATTTGCACTGGAAAATGATGTGTGAGTACAGACATTCCTCAAGTGCATCATGCATCAGAAAGTATCTAATTAAAAATGATGAGTATTTCAGTTTCACTCACACAATACACTTAAAGTGTGTTTGTTAGTAGCAACCACGCATTAGGCATCTTTATTAAATTAAGGTCTAACAACACCATTCCTTATTGTAGACATATGTACAGTATTCTTTACTGTGCCAATATTCACAATGGTACAACATATATCACATGCCATCCTTTGTTTAGTAATTATAGTTTATTCAATTAGATTCCAATTAGCCAAAAATACCCAGAGTAAACCACCTGAACTTGTCACCGTTAGGTTTAAATCAAACAACTGGCTTCCACACAAAGCAATATTTGAACACTTGGATTAAGACATTGCAACTTCTAACAATACGGATTTCCTGTTTCCATCCATCCATCCATTATCTTCCCCCTAATCCATTTCTGGGGGGGGGGGGGAGATTATCAAAGGACTGTAAAGTGAACATACAAACCGCTTCTAGATTAAATAACTAGGATAAACGGAAAATGTTTCAGCTAATTCCTGACTGTAACTGCGCTTCATACAAACTTTAACACATTTATTTGTGGACATGTTCTTACACACAAACAGGGAGGTACATGAAAAGACTACTTTTTATTATAAAATGGTGTAAAATAAAAAATAAAATGGTCTGTTCTGGAAATAAAGGTCATCTGGTGGCTTTACTGCAGCTTTATCTGGGTCAAACTGAGATCAAATATCTGGTTCTAAAGAACTGATGGATTAACCTGGAGAATAATCAGTAGTTACAGCACTAACTCAGATGAGTCTAGTCTGATTGCCAACGCTCTGAGTCCAAACAAACAACTGCTGTGTTCAGAATTCTACTGCATGTTTATTATTGCATGTTTCAAAAATAAGAATTTTGGCTTCAAAACAGTGTCACAAACAGTGACATACAAATACTTTAAAAGTGTACAAGGATACAGGGTGTGAGAGGATTTTTCAATTCTAACACAATTAACTTCTCTTAATTAACTCCTGCATTCTACTGCATTTCAGAACAAAGCCTAGAGTATTTACTTCTTAGTAAAAACCTTTTTTTCTAACATGAGAAAAATGTTTATTACAACGCTTACTTAAGTCTATGGGTACAAACGTTTATGCCATAAAAATTAAGACAATACAAAACTAAACAGGACTGTTTTACTTTAAACTACGACTTTGAACAAAGAAAAACCTGAGCCCCAAATTATTTTTAATTGCAGATCTACATGATTCACATCAATCTGTGCCTTGTAGTAAAAAGGTTGCAGTTATTAAAACTGTCTCAAAATAAAAACTTTTAACAAGAAACAAGATGTTTGATAAGATAACACTATAAGATGATTCTGCAGGCCGGGTTGGAAAGTTAACTTTTATCATGTCACGATAGCAAAACATTTGATAAAGATAAAGACAAAAGCCACCAATCCTGTTCTAGATTCAGCCAGTGCATGCGCTTGCTCACCTTCCTGCGGTATGATCCTCAGCGTGACGGTCAGGCCTGCGTCCTTGATCAGCTTGACGATTTCGGCGTGCGGCATGTTCACAATGGACTGAGAGTTTACAGCCAAGATCCGGTCTCCCACCTTCAGCTTTCCACTGCGGTCCGCCGGGCTGCCCTCAATAATGCGGCCGATTTTATGCGGCACCGCTGTGGAAATCGAATGCAGGGCTCAGCAGGTGGAAACACAATCACAAGAAGCTCCGGTTGAGGTTTCGTCTTTGCGCGAACCACTAACTCACTGGTTATTTCTGAGTCTCTATCATTTTTGCTGGCTTATGTAAGACTTCCAGGTTTTTTCATGCATGTGTGGGCGAAGTGCTGATGCTTACAGCCACACACAAGAGATATTTGTGAGTGACATGCTGTGGGAGGTTGTGTATAAAATCATTATGCTTTTCTTGTAGCTTACCTAGTTTACACGAACAAGGTCCTTTGACATGAGCTCTTTGAGATTGAATGCAAGCTATTTTTTCTGTCCTTACTTTTGTTATGAATACATCTTTCCAATGCACTCCTGAACCACATGTACAGTGCGTTGAATAACACCAATTTGTCGCTGTGTGAATTCACTCAGATCAGTCATTCCCACGACAGGTGAAGTAGGAGGCAGGATGTGTGATAGACAGCAGATCCACTTTGCAGTCTGTCTATTATAAAATGCTTAGGGCCAAACTGTCATCGACAGGCATGGGTAAACAATGGCAACAATTCTCAATTCTGTGAAGAGTGAATACGTACAGCTTAAGAAGATTAGGCTCAGAAAAAAGTATGATAATAGATACACTTTCAACTATATATTAAAAAGCCTGACCTGTTTAGACAGCATTGCTAATTAATCTAATACAAATAATATAGTTTTTAACCATTTTGTAATTAATTGTGTCTTGTACATATTGTTTCTCTTTGTGGTTAACCACAAAGAGAAACACCTGTATTTTAAATGCTTGTCAGGCCATTTTATTTATTCATTCTGTGCACATTGTAACCTACTGTCACTTTGCTTCTGCTCAAGGACTGTAGATGGAAATTAGCTCATTGCTATGTCCAGTCTGTACAAAACAATTACTGTGCAATGTCCCTGTCATCTAAATAAATACACATGTTATGATTGTTATGATGTGTTTTACAGAATGAACACCACAGACCATGGCTGATAAATGCTCATGTGCAGATAACCCAAGTAAAATATATGTTTTCGTACTGTTGGTAGCTGCAGCCTCCGGCCTGTTGAGGGAGCTGATGATAACAAAGCCAAAGCCCTCGCTCTCCTTCCTGTTGATGACAACGTCGCGCGGAGGGGAGTTTGGGTTGGGCGTTGAGTCTGGAGTGGAGTTGAGGCCTGTAGAAGAGCTTGGAGGCTGAACGCTGTTGCCGTACGTGAAGTCGCTGCGTGGCGAGCTCTGCTGGGTGGACACGGAGCCCGAGCGGCCGTTTTCTGTGCAAGGCTCACCTGTAAGAAGCAGAATCTTTTTATTGGAACTGTTTGGATTGAAAGAACCCAGAGTTTACATTTATATGGCATCATGCAAGTGATCTTTAATAATTTATCCAGAGCACCTCAAATTAAACTTCAGGTAACAGCTGGGAATGCTTTTCGCAACATTGACATAGAGAGCTCATACAGCTCATGCTGGCAAGACATAGACAATTGGGATAGAAATAAAAATAAAAAAAACATGTGAAGCCATGTATGAGTCAGATAATAGTCTTGGTTAAGCAGCAAATTCCTTCCCTCCTGCCTTTGCAAATATAAATCATGTTTTCCATATTTTCAAGTGTTTGTGTGTATGCGTGATATGCGTCTTTATGTATGAAATTAAATTAATAATTACTGGGATACCAAATGTGTTTAAACACTGAACTTTTGGACCACATTGTGTTCATCAAAATGAAACACTATTGTGAACTATCCATGTGAGTCTCTTTTTGACGCTTTGGGCAGAGAGTTGTTTGGCTGTTCAAGGAAATGATCTCTTCTTCATGTGGGACAGTTCTCATTAAGTTTGTAATTTTGGCAGCTTTCAATATCTACCCCAGCTTTAATACATGTAACACAGGTTTCTGAAACTGACAAACATTTGTAAGTGAAGGCTGTGCATTTGTCCTTGTCCAAGTTAGTGTCAAATCAAACCTTCAGTCACAACGGTTTTATGATACAGATGTGAATGTTTACCTGTGGGTTGCACTCTTCTCCTGATGACCATATTGACCTGGCCGTTGCGAGCAGCTCCATGCATTAGGTCAATGACATATCTATGTGGCTTCCCCATCACAGGTATTCCATCTACAAACAGCAGCTCATCCCCAGGACGCAACCGCCCATCCACGTCGGCTGGACTCTTTTCAATAATTGCCCCAATCAAAATCTGTTATAAAGCATATTGTAATTGTAAAGTCACTTGATTGTCCTTAATATTATAGTACAAAAGACAGTAATGCAGTGTCAAATGTTAACAGCCGTCAAATAGCATTCTTTGTGTTACACAGAAAAGACAGGTTTCCATGCCCGTCGCCATACGAGCCTTCTCACGTGTCTCTGGACTCACAGGTTGTCCTGCCTCTTCCCCGCCCAGCACTCGAAACCCAAACCCAGACTTCTGCCGCCGAAGATGCACCTCAATGTCTTGGTACTCAGCTCCTGCAACGGCACATAATCAGAGAATTGTTTTTGTCGAAAGAGCAGTGTTTATGGTGTATGGTTTACCTGAAGAGTCCATAGAAAAAACAGGTTTTGGTTGGGTGGGTTCTACGAAAAACAAACAAATAAACACATCGTTTTTATCCACTGATAATGCACATTAGGGATATAGCCCCAGAAAACAGAAGGCTGTGAACACAAGGTAAAATCACTGGCTCAGGAATACTGTCACTGTTGAATCTCAGTATCATCTATAAAAGTCGTGAAGTGCTTACAGCATGTAATGCACTAGGTCTTATTTACAGTGCCGGCTGAGATACTCACTTATCTGCAATCAGGGGGTTTAAACAGCTGTGTGTTTTGCAAAGAAGCAACATGGAGTAAAGCACAGACATAAGGTGACAAATGGGGGGTAAAAATCCAAAAGTATTGCTTTAATGAGGCAGAGTGTTCTGCTGGGAATGACGGGAAAGAAAATCAAGGTATCCATGAGAGAGAAGTTTCCCACAGAAACCCCATACAGTGTAGTGTCCAGACTATAGTTAATCTGACAAGTTTTATGATTGTTGAACTGAAAATACAAATACATTGATATTCTCAACAAAATAAAATGAACTTTTAACAGCAGCATAAAATACCCAGCCATACTTGATAATCTGACAGGCTGTTTGAAATATACATCTGTTACAACAAAGCACATCCTCCTGTGCTCAAGTCTCGTACTTACGCCTATTTTCATAGATAGACCTGGACTTCTCATAAAGGTCATAGGGCTCAGGTTTGGCCAGCACCAGGGCCTCGGAGGCCGTCTCAGGCAATGAGCCTCTGTGCAGTTGCAGAGGAGGGAAGAAGGGGGCGCTGTGAGAGATAATAGGGGCAGATACGCAGGTCTGAGCAGGGCTACTCTGGCCCTGCTGGGACTCCCACTGATCCAGGACCTGCAAAGCACAGCAGCATGAAGGGGTCAAGTCTGCAATACATCCTTTATAACTAGTGATTAGTGAAGTTAGTTTTTGAGACATTTAAAAAAGACAAGAAGACACTACCCTCCCACAGAAATAAATATGCAAGGGCATTGCAGAAACACAGTGGCAGACCAATTACTCTCATATTCAGCCTGTCCAGTCCCAGATCAGTTTTTACAGGTGTAGAACACCTGAAAAATTCATTGCCCAAAAAACTCATTGTCTTTTATAAGACAATAAATAAGGATGAACTCAAAGGTTATATGGAGGTTTGATTTTGGAAAAGACAAAAATGTGCATGAGATAAAATGATTTGTTAGTGCTCTGTAACATTCTGTCACCACAGGAGATGACAGTAACAGTTTTGATGGCACCCGTCTGTCACAGCAGCAGCCCCGATGTGTCAGATAGAGGCGGCTGCCAAAGGCACGACACGGAGCAGATCCACAAGATGAGATGCGGACATGTCAAATGACCGCAGAGCTCACTGAAGGGGGACACGAGCCAGAGCCGAAACTAGTTTTTATTTAATCAATTGGTATTTTATATCCAAATATACATTTTGAATACAAAATGTGTGGTATAACCGGTCCTGCTCAGAAAAAAATATATATTGTTGAGCTATCATGGGTTCTGTAGTTATCTAGGATACATTTTCTACCAAAAATATCCAACTTTCTATATCCCCTTTAATGTAGAGTTATTTAGTGGGGAAAAAAACTGCAATCATCATCATGCCAGAGGTTAAACTTGATGTATTTAGTGTAAAAGGTTTTATACTAAATAAAACGTATTTCTTAAACTTTTGAAAGTGGAGCCTGACATGGATCAAAATCAAATCTAAATCGAAACGTATTTTGGCCCCACTGGTTTAAAAAGAAGAACAGAGGGTCACTGAGGTTTAACATTAACATCCAGAAATAGCTTAGTTAAAATATACATATATACTTTAAATGGTTGAAAAATGATATTGTAGGGACCAGGTTTGCATAAAACTGACCACATAAAGAACAAAGCATCGTTTGTGATCTGGCAGAAAAATGGCTTTGCCAGTGGCACTGGGTCAGGGACTGGTCAAAGCAGCGTCAGGAGGATGTCCAGCCACGTAATGGATTACACACAAAAGAGCGCACAGAGACAGAGAGCGTGCGACAGAAGCACTGTTGTGTAGAAATATACACTGTCGGAGTAAATCTAATCTAAGAGGATGTTTTGTCAGCGAAGCCACCGGGGCCGAACAGACAATAGCGTAACAAAACACAACTTTTAACAATGGACTTTAAGGGGCACTGCAGCACAAGAAGATTAAGACTTCCTGGAACATGGAAAAATCTGGATTCAAGTAGATTTAACCGGTCTTAAAAGATCCACTAATAGAAAAGGCAGCATTCGGTTAAAGTACAGGGTCCACTTGAAATTAAGTCTGGTCCGTGCCGCAAAAGTTATATTACTAACACGGTATATTTTATTTCTCATTCCAAGTAAGACATTTCTTGTCATTTTTATATTTTGGCAAATAGTAGTCGACATAACTGAAATATCAATCAAATAAATACTGTACTTCAAGAAACAATTGCCTTACTGATACACTTAAGCAACACACATGGAGAATCATTTGGCATTACATTACAAATGTTCAAAACTAGTAAAAAATACTGTGTTGATCATTTTGAAGAGTAAGCATAAATGAACTATAAAAGTGGTGTTTTGGTGTCACCCGACGACAAACGCATCCCACTTGAGTTTGATCTAAATACGTGGATGACATTGACTGTGAGAGTGAAGTGTCTGACAGTTCTTTGACATGTTTTGAGAGCCATCTTTAAGCTATTCACTGACGGTGATTAAGAGAAACACGTCAAAAGAACTGACTAATGTAAAATGCACAGAAGCATGACAAACAAGGCAGTTACTTCTAAAGTTAGTGAGAAAGAAAAAGATTGAGTTATTTATAGTTTTACATATTAATACATACTCAGTAGGGCTGGGCGATCTGGGGGAAAATGTATCGCACAATATCCTCTTGTATTGATCAATCTCGATTTTACAATTATTATTATTATTTTTTTTTTTGGGAAATTTGATATACAGTATAACCTGGGGAAGGGGTGGTTGGTGGTGCACAGCCAGGATCAAAATAGATGTGTGTGTTATTAGATTAAATTGAGCATTTCTTAAGCCACGCAATTAAGAGAGGCAAATCAGTCACTAAAATCTTGTTATTTCTGCTCCACCAGGCTTTGTTGCCATTTGTTTAATTTAAAGTTGTGTTTAAGGGTCACAATCAGGTTAGGTCTGTGTGTATGCTCTGTTTTTTGAAAATAAAAGGTCAAACACATAATCAGATCAAATTTGAGAAGTGTGTACGGCTAAATTCAGGGCAAGACACAGTGCGTTTGGTCGAGGGAAAGGTAAGGGTTAAGCTAGCTTTCTGCGTAAAGTAAGACCAAGACAACACCAAGTCAGTTCTTTTCCTTTCTCCAAAACCATTGAAAGTAATTTCTCTTCAGCCCCTCGCACTGTTACTTCCACATTATACGATTTGAATGCACATAAATCGAGATTGAGCAAGGCAAAGATTGCAAACTTTCCATTTTCAGCACAGCCCTACTGAGAAGTTAAAAGAAATTAGGACAGTTAAGTAATTTGGATGGAAACGTTGTTACCTGCTTGGGGGTCTTCCAGGGGGAATAGTAACCTGCAGTGTTGAAAAAGCAACAAAATAAATAAAAATGATTTCAAACTAGAAACAAATCGTGACCATAAATGTCTAGATGGTGATGCAGAGAAATGTATGGACTGAATGTCAAGGTCAAAAACTACTAAAGAGATGTGGAAGAGGAGTAAATCAATATCTTGAACCCAAAAGCAATCTACTGTTTAGTATCCACGCCTCTGAATCTATTAGGTGACAGCAAATCCAACCAAAGGATATTTTTATTGCCTATTCACATTGCTTGGATATAAAGGTTAGGATTCACACACACTCATACAGGTATTTGAGGATGCTTAAGGGGATCACTTCAACGAAAGCCAACAATAAAGGGGTGAAATACTGCTACAGAAGGGCCTCCTCCCGCAGCACGTTCTCCTTCATCTTAGAGTGACCTTTAAAGAACAAAGCCACTGCTGTTGTTTACAATAACCTGTGCAATGACAAGCACAAATCAGCTCAGCTCCTGGAAAATAGCAGGTGCAACTTAAGAGTTCTAAACAAAACATATGCTAAAGGCAGCTGGTGTGAGACAAAAGCGTGACAATGAATCAAGGGTATGTGGTCTCACTCAAGCACAACTATACAGTACATTCCTCAGCATCACTCAACAAGTTCAGACTTTTCAATATTTATTTACTTACGATCTATAATATACTGTTTCAAAACAATCTAAATAATGTTAGAAATTTCACACAATACATTTTTTATGCATTCTTCTGCTTTCACATAGTTGCTCTTTATGTGACCAGGACTGCACTACTGAATTTCTATATTTTTTTGGGGGACCCTAGAGGGGAGGAATCTTTTGTACTTGGAGCACTTGGAGCACTTGGAGAAAAGCTACGCAGACACAAGTAGAACATGAAAACATCCACTCAGAAAAACCTTCTTGCGGAGAGACGAGTGCTCTAATCGGTCCACCTCTCACATACTTCTACATCAAGAGACAGGCTGGAGCTGGAGCTGTCCCTGGTACTGAAAGCACTGAGAGCTAAACTCTCAAGAATTGCAATGAAAATATAAAGTAAAAGCAATAATACAAGCATAAACATACGTATTAACAGCACTGTAGTCATTCCTGTACTTAAGAAGTACAGTAAATTACAAGCTTATATACATCTTAATGCACTTGTGTAATAAGGGACAATAAAATCATCATGATTAGAGCAAAACTTCAGTGAAAAGGGGTAAAACGATGATCTATCAACAATGCAAGAAATGTCTCTTTTTTTCTTTGAATATTTTGCTTGTGTCACTTGTGTGCATCCATTATTGTCAGCAGGATTTCACAGAAATTACTAGACGGATTGAGCTGATTTGCTGTGTAGATGAGATGTGATAGTAGAAAGACCCCATAACCATTTTGAGGTGATTTGTGGTGCTGTATGTTCTCGAATTACAAGTTTTCTTTCCATGTTTTTCAGTCTGGACACACACATTCAAAGTATCATGGTCTCATCAAACACCAACTCGCCGGGAGGCTCAGAGCAGCTTGCTAAATCAAACTCTCGTCTTTCCGTGGTCATATTTTTTCAAAGGAGACCTCCCGCGCGGCCCTGCAGTTATCTGTGTGCACACTATTGATTACAGGTTAGTGGTCAAACTCCACACTAGATCCAGAAGGTACAAATTACTGCAAAACTGCTTTATGCAAGTGTTTTGCCTCCTTCTACGTCAAGGGAAATGCAAGAGAAGCCGGCTGTGTAGGAGTGGGAAGAACCTGTATCAAAACATGCGGCCAATGCTTTGTGTGAATAAGTGGGTGGGCGCCAGATTGTGCAGCACTAACTACACAGACTCGAGCACAGGAACAGGCCCACAGACTTGGAGGATGATTACAAACAAAGACACAGCAGAGCATTACTACCATAACTTTGATTATGGGACTTTCTGGTAAATGTGTTATACTATAAGAGCAGCCATTTCAGATATGATGAGTCTAATTACTCACTTACAATAAAACATTTAGTAATTATTTATGTAGTAAATGTTTCTCCAAAAGCAACCGTTTGTGTCAAGTCTGTGGGTTTCTTTGATACTGGTGTTTATATTTTGATATTGCCTTTAGTCAACCCAATGGCCCACATGGCTCATATTTGGATTTACAATTAGATGCCTCAATTCAGGGGGCAAATACCCATAAAAGGAAATCAGCCTCAACCGCTTTCGGAAAACACTATAGGTGACGTCGGTGCTCGGCCAGTCCACTGATATGCAGTCAATGGTTTGATGATCATGCAGGCCGTTCTGTGTGGAGTTTCCCTGGTTTCTTCCAGGTGCTCCGGTTTCCTACCTAAGACATACAGCAGTATAAATGTGAAGGGAAGGAGTCATGGCACGAACCACGCTGCCAATATCACTTCCGAGCTCACAGAATCCTCTGACAGCACTGACATAATGACGACAAAACATTGCATATGGCAATTGTAACCCCAAACCCGCCTCTCAAAACTCAGAGATGAAAATTGTGAAGAAAAAAGCTTAAGCTATAAAATTCAATACCAATTGTGATAAAAACGTTTTTTTTCTTGTTGAATAAAATGACTATGGATTGAGTCAGTGGTCAACGTCAAATAAAAAGCAGGGCTATTTTAAGAGCAGGGATAATCATGTTATTTTCATAGATGTTCCATTTAGGTCCCAATCTGCAGTACTGAACACGGCATAGAGTGTGCAGCTACTTAAAAGGCCAATGGACAATCATAATTATAAATGAGGAATTGTCCTGGAACATATAATAACATACTTTATGCCGGACACTGGAACGGGTTGTCATGGAAACACAATGATAATAACCTGTGGGAGTTTGGGATCAGAGGGAGTGGAAATCCATTTTCATTTTTTACGACCATTTCAAGTCTTCTTGAGGCAATGCGAGCCAGAGAGCAAACGCCTTTAATGTTAGTGTGGTCCGTCTGCCGCACAGGAAAAATAGTATTAAGTCATGCTTAAAATGACTGAATTCAAGATACTCTTACAGGTTTTTGACTATGATTGACTAGTGTTTGCTCGAACTGGTTTGGAGATAATTGTGACTTTAAGTTTAAAGATATTTGTGACTTTAGACTTAAACTTTATCTTGTTTAAATATGTTTTTCTTACCACACTGGTAAAAATGGTGGCTATGCCAAAATGCTGTTAAAAAAGCAGCGGGTGCACAATTCACCAATTTTTCATGCCAAATATTGCCATACTTGGATCGTCATTTTCTCTCTTAAAAAATCCAAATTGACACAGATAACTTATCAACACTCTCTGAATTACTAGAGCACAGAAATCCAAAATGAATAAAGGTTCTCTTGTCTTATCTTGATACAGTTGCTTTTGCACTCGTATTTCTAAAATGATCGCCCTCATTTTCCCCAAAGAGAGCATGTCTTTGAACTTCATTGTTTACTTGCAATTTTTCAAACAAGTTATTTTTGGATTCACTTTTGACGTACTGAAAAAGGCAAGTGGGTGGCACAAGATTTCAGTTTCACCCCGAGGACCTAGTGCTTGTCATGTCAAGGGAAATCGACACGTAACAGATGTGACTGTGGCCTGCAGTGCTGTTGTGTCGAGCGGCTAAGCGCTTCCTCATCTGAAATAATGAGAGAAATATAGCATGTAAATAGGCCTGGCATTTCCCTCGCGGCTGACAGGCTGCTCTTTACATGGCAGCTCGTGTTTGAACCTTTAAACCTCAGCTGAAAAGAAGACAGATGGCACTTCATACTTTGTGTATCAACGGTAAATTATTGTGTTGCTGCTGTTCGCCAGAAACAATACAATCAATTATTGGTCATAGGTCTTAAGTATATGTTCAGACCAATAACGTATAAACCAAAACTCCCAATGACTGTGCTTCAGATCTGAGTAATGTATGTATAATTGATTGTTATGTGTGAAGTTGTGATTAGTAAAAAAAACAAAAAGCAACGCAAACTCTCAAACTTGCATGCCATCTCAGAGAGAAGACAAGTGCTTCAACTATAGCTGCGTTGTGTCCTATAAAACTACTTTAGACTCCACTGCCTTACAGAGCAGAAAAAGTAGACATACTGTAGCAGCCTGATCCACAACACCCGAATGCACCGCATTACTGCAATTGTCAAAGACAGATCCACGTGGAGTGGTTCAAAGCCCAGCCCTCAAATGGTCCATTTCTGGCATAGTATATGGCAGAAAAAGATAATCAAGAAACATTTTCTAAAATCACACAGAAGATTTTATGCAATCTTGAATATTTTTAGCTGTATTAGGCGCTCCACAAAACAGAGGTCCATATTATCACTTAAAATAATAATACTATTTAAAATGTAAATAAAGCTTGTGACACCGTGACTGTAAAAGAGGTTTCTGTGGTACTACTTAGAAACAGTGACAGAGAGCCTGATGATATAGGAGGAGATTCTTGATTCCACTGACATGGTTCGTACATAGAAAGAACTCAAAACCAATGAGGTATGTTTTACTGATTCGGAGCACTGTAAGACTGGTGCGGGAATAATCCGTTTAGGGTCTATTTTTGCCAGACTTCACAGCGGTCTTATCTGGTTTCTAGGTAATCAAACAGGTGTTCTCACATGAACCCCCGCAAAAACCTCACAGCAGAGACCAAAGTCAGTATAACAAACCACTCTGAATGCATGCTGCACTGAAGTTGAAGTCAGTGTAGACGAGGCCTAAAACTCAGCTGTCCCCTTGTCCTACCCGCCCCATCAGTCTTACCTGGCCCGCCCCTCTGCACCACCAGGCTGGTCTCTGTTCCCACCGCGCACTCTTTGAGCAGCTCCACCACCGCCGTGTGTGTGAATCCCTGCACTGGCTGCTTGTTTATCTCCACGATGAGGTCGCCCTCGCTCAGACCAGGACAGCCCTGCGGTTCCAGCACCTGCTTCACCCTCTGTCCCGTCGCGCTGTCTGCAATCGTAAATCCAAAGCCATCCACGCCTTTCACCATATTCACAGTCAGCATCTCACTCTGGGCCGGTCCCGAAGACGCCATGGATACACTGTCTGGAGGCGTGGTGCCAGTGCCAGCAGGAAGTGACCCGTCCAAATTGGTGTCACCCGGATGTGTGGCGAGGAGCTGTTGGGCAATGACCTGCTCTTGATTCGGGTCTGTGACAAAACGAGCTGTGCGGGAAATATAGTCCAGGTAGTTATCGTAAGTGGCTCTCCCATTGACCACTATGGGGCGCTGTTCCATGATGCCAAGAGGGGAGATGATAGTGGTGGTGGTGTTGTTGTTTGTGTTAGTGGCGTCCTCTGGATCGTAGGGTAAAGGGTAACCTCGACACAGAACCATCGTGACGCTTTGACCGATCGGGACCGACTGGAACAGTTTGACGACATCAGCGTGAGTGGTGCCCAAGACGCACATGTCGTTGATGTACACTATCACATCACCTGCGACAAGAAAAGGGATAAACTGTATTAACATCAACGGATAAAAAATCATTCATACCAAATAGACATTCACACATAATTAAAGTGCGTATCTTGCAATGCAAAATATTGTTGAAAGAAAAACAAAGTGATGCTGCCAAAAATCAAGAGAGAAGATACAGTACAAAAAGTGCAAGCATGTGACAGTAAAACACTAGATTTGGATATTACATGGCTTTATTAATAGCCGTGTTACGTGCACTGTGTGTGTACAGCATAGATTGGAGGAATTAATAATTATTCAATTTATAATCAGACAGTTAAGTTTTATTTGAGCAGAACCACATTCTTCCTTGACTGTTCCTACCAGTGTGGTATCTATTTGGTTAATCACTATGCCTAAACATAGTACATTTTGAAATAGTAATAAGAAAATTTAAGGGAGAAAAAAAATCCCTTCATTGGTATCATTTCGTATGGAGTATCGCAGATACTGAAGGCAAAGTTTTGTGATCTGGACTTGAAAAAGTTCTGATTGTTAATATTACCCTACACAAACACTCCTACACACACGTGCCCAAATGTTACACAGTTAGGGCTGTAAATAATGATGAATATTTTTTATTTGGCCGAATATACTTTTGATGAATCAATTAGCTGTTAAAACATGTTGAGTGGTTATATCAACAAATTGATTAAGAATGAGTTAATATTATTAGTATTATTCCAATTGATTGAATCTGTATTATTCCAATTAATTGAATTTGTAATCTAAATAATTTGTAAATAATGGAATTCATATTATTCCATCCAATTGAATTCACAATATTCCAATTAATTTCACCACCCTACAACCAGTCCAGTAAGTACTGCGTCGGTATCGCAGTCAGCACATGGTGTGGTTGTCAAACAGCAAATTGTTATTCATTACATTTTTTAATCAGATCTGACCCACATCTGCAATATATGACAAAATGGATATACTTGATTGCAAACAGTTCTATGGGCTGCTATTAATAGACAAGGTCATTTCAGGTTTCTCTTGTACAGAGTGTGATGAGGAATAGATAGTGAATGGTAATAAAGAAGAATGTAATGTATACCCCGGGCGTGATTAAAGACTTTGGCACAACACAATGCAGTACATTATAGGAGCTCGAGGCTTTGTGAGAAGATTACCTCAACAGACATAAAGCATTCTTCAGATAAACATGGCCAGACACAGTGTGCCATCGGCTTAAAATACTAGCCAGACAAGACAAGAGACTTTAAGGGTGGACTTACAGGATTCATTCATCCAAAGTTTCTTCCACCTTATACACCTTATATAGTTCTTTTTTTATTCTGATACAAAATTATGACATTTCATGAGAACACAGGTATTTAAAAGCACACTACATAACCTAGGGTAGCTTCAGAAAACTGTAATTGGAGCCACGATTATCGCACTTTGAGGGATGCAGGGCGAGGAATGATTAAAAAGCGAAGCATGCCTTCACCTTGAAAAACATGCTGCAGCTTAACTAAATCTTATGAACTATTAAAAGAAGTAGACACAATAATTGCGGGGATCACTTTAAACCAGTCTTTAAACCATGTTGATTCCTTGCATTATTTATAGAGCAACAAAATGACACTCAACTCGAACCACGGATTGAGCCATCATCAACATCTTTGTGAGTTTTAATGGTACTGAGCTTGACAAAGTGAGCACATGCCTTGAGGTGAAGTGACGTGAGGGACTTTTTAATTAATCTGGGTAAACGGCCGAGACATGAGCCTTGAGCGCTGATGTCACAATCGATGAGCAAGCGTACGGGCAGAAAACAAATGATGGTGTCGCGACCTGGTGTCACCTCGACTGGCCCTCAGCTCTCACTGTTTACGGCCGCAACGGAAACGAAGTGCAGCAACCAGTGCCAGTGAAAAACAAAACAAAAATTAAAGCGCACTAACTGCTGGGATTTAGAGTTGCGGTGCATACTGACAAATGTATATTACAAAAACTCTGAATCAAGTAAATATACTATACCTAAAAATGTCACATTTTACATAAATTCAATCTGGGGTGGAAAGGGTATTGACAGCCTGAGCCTCTAATTCAGTATAGTAGTCTCATGGAGACAGAATCAGGACCCAAACTCCAGTGCACGGATCTGAATTTATTTTATCTTCTTATGTATCAACTGGACCCAGAGCACAGGGAGGACAGCCTTCAGGACTGAAGCAGCAACAGGGCCACGTTGGTGAGGGTTTGAACCGAGTGTGTCATTATTGCTAAATGTAATAAGGGAAATATAACTGCGTTATTTACAATAATTGAATCTCAAAATGTTGGACCCACGACCCACAAGGATATATCTATTTTGGTAATCTTTGTTACCTCTACACAAAATGCAAGACAAAAAGAATGTATCATTTATGTTATCTTTATTTCACAAAGGCTCCCATATTACACTTCATAAACTGTTCTCTGCTGATGCACTGGTTCTAGGATAATCTTCTCTCTTAATCTGTGTAAATTGGTTTTGATAGATCCATGCAACATGTGGTTTATTAAGGTCTGTCTGTGCGCGCGCTCTGTCCCCAGTGCCTCCATGAACCTTCGAGTGCTGACATATCTGTAAGCGTGTGAGTCTGTGTGTCTGAGCCGCCTTCGCCTCCCGCTTATTCAGCTGCTGGAGAGTTTTTTGCAGAGGAACAGTTGCACGGCCACAGCGGGTAGAGGCAGGGAAAAGCACGTGACGAGATCACAGACGAGTGATTTGACCGCATGTCATCGGGGCAGACACACAGAGCACAGAGTGGACCATCAGGACGTGTTTTAGAAGCTGTTTATTAAGGTTTTTTCAGTGTGCGGATAAACCAGAATCGTTAAGCCTGTGCTTTGCGATTCGAATGTTTACAACAACACACTCAAAATAAAGAAAGATAAACATGTGTCATGTGAATAAAAGTAGTTTTCCTGTTCAGTTTGTGACTTTTGCTTATTTGAAATCAGCGTACAACACCTCCAGACCTGTTGTTAGATCTGAGTGTATGAAACGTTGAAATTGATCAATCGCAAAAAGAACCTGAGGTTCACCTCATGCATTAGTTTCCAAAAATCTGCCCCACTCTTAGAGACACGATTTCTCAAAGGCATGTCGAGTTCAAGAGCCTCTTATAAGGGTTTGGGTTTAGTGATCTTTTGTGTGAGAAAGTCATGACAAAAAGCATCGTGGTCAAACAGTTTCTTTTACTACAAGTTCCAATATCTAAAGACAATCCCAGTATCTATCCAGTTAATATTGCAAGTTTAAACAAAACATTGGCATGTGAGTTATAGTGAATATAAGTCAGTAATTGTCAAGCGTGGCCCGGGTAAACCATTTTTTATGTAGTAATCCAGGACTATAATCTCATCGTTTGTACTGACAACCCTGGACAATTTATTTTCACCTCTTAATACAGACAGTATGTTAGGTTCTTTATTTGTTTCATGAAAATGCATAATTATACAAGTTTCAAATCATTCAAACAAATCATTCAATCATTTCCATGATCAGAAAGGAGCAGATAGAAGAATATTATTCTTATATAATTCTGCCCCCTCTTTTACAAAACAAAATTATATGGTTTTGCTGCTGATTCCTCTGCCTTCTTTATAAACACATATAAGCACATACAATATATATATATATATACATACATACATACATACACACATACATATATACACATACATACATATACATACCCGCACATACATTTCATAATAAACATAACACGTAATTAAACATCACTTTTGTAGATTTGGATTTGTTTCCTCTTGTAAGTCTGTTTGAATTCTAAAATGGTTTTACAACTTTGTAAGTCTTTTTCTTGAGAATTCCACAATTTTACTCCAACAACAGATAAACTCATCTGTTTTAAAGTTGTTCGTGCTATTGGATGTTTGAAGTCATATCTCCTTCTATGATTTTGTTTTTCTGAAGTAAACACAAATAACTGTTGTAACTCTTCTGGAAGAGCTCTATGACTGGCTTTAAACATGATCAATAAAGTTTGTAACTCTACTATATCCTTAAACTTAATCAGTCCTGATCTAATGAAAAGGGGATTAGTGTGATCTCTAAATCCAGCTTTATAAACAATTCGAATGGCTCTTTTCTGTAATAGAACTAAAGGCTGTATGTTGGTGCTGTAAGTATTACCCCATATTTCTACACAGTAATTAAAATAAGGAAGTACCATTGAGCAATATAACATTCTCAAAGTGTTACATGGTAACAAATATTTTGATTTATTCAATATAAATAAACTTTTAGATACCTTATTTTTTACATGCATTATATGTGATTTCCAAGTTAGTTTGTCATCCAAGATCACTCCAAGAAATCTAATTTCCGACACTTTCTCAATATTTACATCATTAATAGATATTCTAACTTCCGGTTTTATTTTATTGCCAAATATCATAAACTTTGTTTTTGTCAAATTTAAGGATAATTTATTTACATTAAACCACAAATTTAGTTTAACTAATTCCAGTTTAACCTCCTCAGCTAAACATTTTAAATCATCTCCTGAGCAAAAGAAGTTTGTATCATCTGCAAATAATACATGCTAAAAAATGTTTGAGACCTCACAGATATCGTTTATATATAAAATAAATAATTTGGGTCCTAAAATTGAGCCTTGTGGAAGTCCACATTTAATATTCAAGCTCTGTGACCTGTGGCCATCAAACTGAACATACTGTTGTCTCTGATGTAAGTAACTGCTTAGCCAATCCAGCACCACTCCCCTCACTCCATAGGTGTAAAGTTTAGAGATGAGAAGTGAGTGGTCTATTGTGTCGAAAGCCTTCTTTAAGTCAAGGAAAATTCCGATTGTGTATTTCTTTTTGTCAATTGCTGTTGATATGTGTTCTACAATTTTCATTATGGCTAAGCTTGTCGCCCTATTGGACCGAAATCCATACTGACTTTCATTTAATAGTTTATTTTTATCTATGAAGCTGTCCAATTTTTTCACAA